AATATGGCCCTTGCATGGCGAAAGTAGGCAACAACACAAACAAAACCAAAAACTATTTTCGGTGCAAGAAACCTTGACTAATTTCACAAGTGGACTTTGGCGGTAAAAAAAAATAATAATACATGACCACTGGAAATTTAGAAAGTCAATTATTACACAATTATTGGCACATTGACTCTCATTGGTAGTAGATCAAATATTACAGTGTGCTAAAGATTATATAGATATATAGACACACCAACATAAAATACACAACAGAACAAATGAGATCTACTCCCAAGGTGGCTTGCTCCCTTTAGGGTATGACGCCGTGATTTAAATATAGTTCAGGTGAGTCTGTGTGCCATCATGTCGCAGTGGATGTGGACAGGCTCTGTCAGACATTGTCTGTTCTGGTCTTGGCACTTTTCAAGTGTCAGGAACCACAATGTATGTCAGCATTCGGCTCCCAGAGGGTGAGCCAGCAGAATGCTGAATGGCGTTGTTTGTGAGACTGGATGGGCGGGATTGGAAGGCAAATGTGCGTGTGCTGAGGGCTGTGTGGTGCCGTGGACTCTTGCTGAGTCTGCATCCCCCACTGTGCCTGAGAGCAGTAGCTCAAACTATGCCAGTTTGATGAGGGAAACCAGAGAGATAAAAAAATGCACAGAGGGCTAAAACCAGAGAGAGAAAGAGTGCAGCAAATGTAAAAATATAAAAATAAAATAAAAAATTGCTGCCCTTTTGGCTGGCAAGGTTGAATGTGTCATAAAAGAGAGTCGGCTGCATTGTTAGGTACTACATAAGCACCTATGTAAAACACATGTGCAACAATGCCGTAACATACGATCTGAGAAGCACAGAACAGACAAGCGATTGCTTTGTTTTCATCACAAAGACTAGCCATCCTCTCATCCATCCTGCTCTGCCGTTACGCCACAAACATATTTAGCACTGCCGGAAGGAAAGAAGAGCCAGCAGTATCATTTTCCAACCAGTGTGTAATTCAGAGACCCTTTTATGCGTTCTGCTTTGCTTTACTGGAGAGAGAGAGAGAGAGAGAGATAGACTTTATATTGAGAGCCCATCTGTCAGTCTCTTTTCTGAATATGTCCATATATTTCTATTTTATTACTCCCTAAGGGAGAAAAGGATGAAAGAAAAAAAGGTGCAAGTGTGACGGATAAAGGACTGAAAGGAAATCGGTGTGAAAGTGTGAAACCTTAATGAAAGTATGAGACAAAAAGAGGAATGTTCGCTAATATGTATTTGGATAACAGACAATGCGCGATACAAGAAAAGAAAGACGGGAATAATAATTAGACGTAGATTAAAAGGAACAGGTTTTGTCTGGCAGAACTGGCCCATAGCTGTTAGCGCGTATCATTGTTCAAGAAAACTAAAACTAGATGAAAATATTTGTGTATACCAGAAATTAAAATAAAATCTAACAACAAACTGAAGCTAAAATACATTTTCATTAAAACTAAAATTCCAACATAATAAAAGTCATTATGTATAATTATAATATAAAATATGTATTTTTTTAAACACTTTTTACATTTATTTTGTTGGAATTTTAGTTTCAAAAAAATGTATACCATAATTTTATTATTTAAATTAAAAATTAAAAACTATATTAACCCTGGCACAAGCTCGGACATCTGGCGCATGTTCAAACCTTGCTCATAACATTACCATCATTTCCTGTCCTGTCTATCTGAACAACAAACGTTTCAAAACCCCAAGGTGAAAAATGTAAAAAAAAACAAAAACAAATGAAAAGTTAAGAGAAACACACAGCAATATAAGCAGCTGTCCGAATATAGCCGGACTCTAGTAGTGTCTACTCTGTTCAGGCAGACAGACAAATTGGCACTGTCACAATGGTGCAGCTTCCTTCCATCCCCTCTGACAGCGCATCCGTCAGTCTCACAGAGACCCACATCAAATTATCCAAATTAAAACGGGCTTAGCGTGGCATCTGGCCTCATCCCTTTGGATCCCAGAACAGCTGAGCTCAAAGCAGACCAACAAAAAGACACCCTGTCCCCCTCCTAAAGCTATGACCACATCACATACATCAATCAGGGTTACAGGTCAAAAGTCAAATTAGTTCACATGGCTCATTCAGATCAGTTTGTATCTTATGGTGGTCTATATCAGGGCTTTGCGAAGTCTATCTGGTCCAAGATAAACCCATGAGCAGGAAAAGCTTTTGTTAAGGGTGATGGGGTACGTCAGCTCTGAAAACATAATAAGCCTATATGTGCTCAATTTCATTGGGTCCACTCAAGTAATTGTACAAGTCAAGTATTGTCAAGAAAGTGACAATAGTTATCCCGATAACAATGGGCTTTTAGGCTGGCCTATTTGGGGAGCCATTTCACAGAACATCAGCAAAGATGTTAAATGTTTCATAGATAGATAGATAGATAGATAGATAGATAGATAGATAGATAGATAGATAGATAGATAGATAGATAGATAGATAGATAGATATAGATAGATAGATAGATAGATAGATAGATAGATAGATAGATAGATAGATAGATAGATAGATAGATAGATAGATAGATAGATAGATAGATAGATAGATAGATAGATAGATAGATAGATAGATTTTGAAAGAAACTACCTTACCTCACACTGAAGCAGCTGGCTCCCAACATAACTGTCTTGAATGACAAAAAAAAATTAACAAAGTAAAAAATGAACGCGAGGAATACCCCTTAATCCCAGGGAAATCCCACCAGCGTCACATTCTCCTGAAGGGAAATACATTTGCATTTTCACAAGAGCTCGATAGTCATCCAACAAATGCAGATGGGAAAGAAGCAGGCAAATACAGAAAAGAATGGATCTGTTCGAACTCCACATAAACTTACACAGAGGGACTGTATAAGGAAAACAATGTGGTATTAGGACGTACTCTGAGTCTGTGCACGTGGGAGAACTGATAACAGTGGTTCAATAATACGTGAAATAATATTTAACGACGATGAGAATAATACTTAAAGCAAACTCAAGACAATATTCCATTTCTGTTTATTTTGTTAATGAGAAATCACGTGCACTAACAGCGTCCAATAGGCCACGTGCACGAGCGAAGTGATATGACGTCATATATATATATATATATATATATATATATATATATATATATATATATAGTTATTTTGCATGAATATAAATTGACAGTTGAATAATATACATGTCTGCTGCAATCATTTCTTCTTCTTCTTCTTCTTCTTCTTATTATTATTATTATTATTATTGTTGTTGTTATTGTTATTTCTGTAATTTCTGTTATTTTGTTGTTTCTGTAAGATGGTGAACTGTGGGCATACTTTTAAAGTAGCCTAGTCTGACTTTAAGTGACCTCCACATTTAGTAACTGTTCTGGTGTCCGACCATGAAAATTAACTTTAAAATAGACCTTTCTATGGAAAAAAGAATGAGGAAATAAAAAAAGTTATGAACTAAATGGATTTTAGAGGACATAAGTGTGACAAAAGTGACATAGGCCTAATTTCATACTTGTCTTTTTTGCATATTATTTTACAGTGCCATGTCTGTGTATTTAAAGCCTACACACACACACACATATATATATATAATATATATATATGTGTGTGTGTGTGTGTGTGTGTATGTATATATATATATATATATATATATATGTATATATAATGAGTAGATCTATCCTAAGCCACATAATGAAATGGTCTGAAGCACTTCCTCTCCCTCACTGTGTTCTACTCAACAAAGTTTGGTTTTCATGTTTTATGGGGACTTTCCATAGACAATGATTTTTACACTGTACAAACTGTATTTCTATCCGCAGTTTTTACTATCCTTGTGGGGGTAGTAGCCTACACACACACACACACACACACACACACACACACAATCATGTTTGCATAGCTGTTTGTCAGTCTGCTGTGGCAACTCAAAGTTTTTATTTGTAGGATATTGGAGTGTTTTCTCCCATGTACATCTCATTTCAGTTGACTCAGAGGTTCAACAAGGGCGTTTTGAACTGTGCTGTGAACTGATTTGTAACAGCTTTGACCATGGTGATGTGGTTATGGCTGGGTCAACTTCTTTTATATTTAGGCTTTGCTGCCATCCTCTGGCAGCAATCATGCACCAAAGGCAACTGAACAACATTTCTCTTTTTACATATAAACACTACCATTCTAAAGTTTAGGTCAGTAATTATTATTAAGGAAATTAATAGTTTCATTTAGTATATATACTATATTTTCATAAGGATACAATAAATTGATCTAAAGTGACAGAGCAAACAATTTCAATGTTACAAAAGGGCATTTAAGGCTCTGTGGAATTTGTGGCTTCACACTGTCCGGATCCAGAGCATAGACTGTAAAATGATCCAGAGAAGCCGAAGTTATGACATCACTTTGTAGACCAAAACGTGAGTTAGCATTTTAGCAATTCCGGTGCTAAAAAAACAACAACTTTTTGCTAAATACTGGAGAGAGGGAGAGACACTTTTTGCTAAATCGCCCGAAGTAAAGTCTGTGGTTAATAAAGCCTCTAAATATTTGCACGTTTTGATATATGATATAGTACACACTGGTTCTAAACTGCTTGGGGTTTTTAAACTTTATTGTGTTTAAACTTTATATAGGCATCAAAATGTATACATTTTGGATTAACTTGTAAAGATTATCTTGATAGACAAAACGTGTAAGGGTCTCAACTTATTTTTTTTTGCTATTTTTCAAAGGTCTATGGGGAAAATGCATAGCTTCATAGCTGCATAGTGACGTCATAACTTCGGCACACTATTAAGGAATAGTTACATCATCGCACCATCCATGTTATGGCTTCTTTAAATTCTAGATAGACATTTATATTAAATTTGTGATTTTTTATGTCATTTGAAGCAATGAATTTTAAAAGTACCTTCTGCAGATACCAAAGAGTCCCAACATTTTTTTTCCGTCTATTAAAACTCAGCCTGATATGTTAAAAAGAGACTAAAGACAACATGGGTTTTGCATTGTTTTTATTGACTGTTTGCACAAAAAAGAGGTATGATAAATCACATAACCAGCAAAAAATAGGCCACCTTTACCATGAAAACTAGACTTAAAAAAAACAAACAAACAAAAAAAAAACTGAAATGAAATGAAACAAGCATTGACAAAATTTGTTAGTGTTGGTAATGTCAGACTGCGCAATACAGACACCATACACAAAATTGCCGAATATGCCATTAAATGTGAAATGGAGATTGTAATGATTAATCAAGAGTGTCATGTTCAATATTTCTGTCAATCGGTTAGGCTCAGATGGTGTATGTTCACATCTGTCCATTCAGTCCAAAACTGACAACTGAATATTCCGACATCACTTTTTAAAAATGCCAGTTTGAATCTCTTTGTAATGCCATTAAAGTCTCTATGAGACTGTGAAGTTACAAGAGCATTTGTTGAATGCAAACTTAAAGCATCATACATGGATGTTTGATCACTTTCTAACACAAGGGCAATACATCTTCAGAAACAACAACAATTTTACTAATCCATCAACGATAGTCTAACTATTCTAATTACACTAAACATCACGCCTGAAAAAACTTTTGTTTTTCAAAAACAAATGCTTTTTGTTAACCAAATAGCGCAAACGCTGAGATTATCGGCGGGATTATTAGCTGTGACGAGAGTCCAGTGCTAACGGCATAATATTGGATGATGTTATGTGTGTGTATAATAAATGTGTGGTGATGATCATTACAGAACTCCAGAGCTTCATCAGCAGCATTTACACAAATTTGACTTGAAAATGGACTTGAACTGGACAGAAAAGACACTGAATGAATGTGAAAACACACTTTACTTCTGATTATGAATGATGGAACCAAAACCATGTTTTTGTTGTTAGAAAAACAAATACTGTTACTAAGATGCTACTGCTATTAAGATACTTACAGAAACCCTAGAGGCTCTTTAAGGGATCTACCAACATGAGGCTTAATATAATTACCTTAAATTATAATTTTAAGCCCAAACTGGTAAATAACGGTCTTGAAATTATGTGGATACTGTCTAAATCACTAACATGGAGAGTTTAAGTTCCTTCATCATGAGGGTGTGGAAGTACATACAACAGTAATGTAAACAAATGAGCGAGATGAAAACACTAGGAAAAAAAAAAAAAAGTGTGACTCCATTTCAAGCAACAAGTCCAGGGCCAGAATGAGGAGTGATAAAAAAAAAAAAAATGCATATATAAAATGTAAAAAACAAACAAAAAAAACCCAACAATAATAACATTCAACAAGACGAGTTTCACAATATCCTGTTGTGATAGATCTATCAAACAAATGCAGTCATTCAAATAATACTACTGCATAATCAGAGGACTTAAGTTATGAACACTGGATATTTGATATGCATACATACAGTATATACACATACAAGAATATCCTTCACTAAAGTTTAGTACACTGAACTGTACAATAACTTCCAAAGGGAATTGTTCAGCAAAACACTGTCTTGCTTACATAGTAATACTATGTTTTACAATACAAGATTAAAATTGTCCCAAACAGAGAAAAAAAAAAAAAAAAAATGTTTGCGCAAGCCCAGACAGGCCACAAAGTGCATATATTATACGCTCAGTTAGAAGCCACTGTTAGAGGAATCCAGAGGGTGGGACACAATTCTGCAGCTCGTATACCCACTCAGAAGTGGAAAAATGACTATTGCCATACAACGAATAATGTTGTCACGACATGGCATGTTGTTTGTAGGCAACATGCTCAGGGTTAGCATTAGCCACTACCATTTAGCCTTCGCCAAATTTGTTTCTGGCTCTCGCCGGCACCTGGGATTCAAGTAGAGGCTTTGCAGCAGTGAACCGAGGTGAAAAATTCGAGAATGTCAATTAAAAAAAGGCCCAGTGATGCAAGCAGGACAACATCTCCCAATTCAAAAATACCACCCCGAGTATATACTATACTGATATTGGGACAAGGGTATGATCATTGAAAACACACACAAAGTAAGTATGGTTAAACTTAACATAACGAATCTAACGAAGAAACACTTCAGTTTGAAGCACATGAGGGGCCACGCATCACGTGACCGTCAATTTAACAACAGCAAATGGACTCTTGTGCGTGGACAACCATCTGCCTGGCAAGTTTGGAAAGAGTGGAAGGTGACATCAAGAGGAGAATGCTTGAAAGGCAAAGCATCATCTTTACGAAATGGATTCTTTACAGTAGTGCTATTGTGCCACATCTGAAAACTCTTTCTTGTGCTTTTTTTTTAACTTTCCTTCAAAAGACCTTCAGTCACTTCAGATCTTGACGGGCTTGTTTTTCTTTTTTATATATATATATATATATATATATATATATAAAGCAATGGCTCAGATAAAAGGCTTTTTTAATGAAATGGCTGTGAAAGGATGATTTTTCTTTTCTTGAATGTGAAGGAATTCTGCCAATTCAGGCTTTTGCATTTTCTTCAAGCATTCCCCTCCCTGATTGTCCTTTCAAAAAGGACCTCTCTTAAAACATTTCAAATGGACAGACTGCTTTAGCGTGTCTGTTCACCATCGGTCTTTCTTTTTTGAAACGCTCTCCAGTCTGACAGGCTCAAAACCTTCCTACAGCCCCCTTTGGGGGTCTGGGTTAACAATGCGTTTCTAGGATTTGTTCTGCTTCCTTTGGTGTAAAAGCCAGGGACAATCACTCTCTTGGTCTCCATCTAGCTTTCGCTTTCTCACCCTTTCTCTCTCTCTCTCCCTCTCTTTCCTGGTCTCTCTCCATCCGTTAACCATTGAGCAGGTAGACCACCAGCTCATAGGTGCACATCATAATAGCAGTGTTAGGGATCTGTCGGACCAGATGAGTGGTGAGGCCTCGGTACAGCGCTCTGTAACCCTCCTCCCGGACCACCATATTTAGAGTTTGGAAGAACGAACGATACTTGCTGCCCTCCTCCCGTAGTCTGGTACGAATAACCTCTGTCATGAGAGAAAGAGAAAGAACAGTTATTTGTCAGAGGAAAAAAATCTTAGGAAGATGACATACAGTGGAGTTCAAAAGTCTGATACTAGAAAAAAAGTCCTTTTATTTCTGCATTTTTATTTAATAAACAAACTTTCGTTCTAAATTATGTCATAAATGTATAGTAAGTTATATTATACAAAGTGAAAAAACTAACTGAAAAATGTGTACATTTAAGAAAATTGTACATGTTTACTTGTATTTGGTCAACTATACAGAATAGTACTCTTACAGAATAATATTTCTACATTTTACAACAGAACTTATATAGATTTTATCTTTTTTTTTCGGGTTCTAGTTTAAATGGGGGAAAAGTCCCTGGTCTTAAATTATTGGACTTTTTTGTTCCATTACATGACAACATTTTCCAGTGCCGTTTAATTGTTACATTTTAAATCGAAAAAAAGAAAATAAAAGAGAAAAAAAAAAAACGCACTGATGGAGATTGAAGGTAGGCTTATCTTTGAAAATAGGTTGCAAGTCAAGATTTCAAGGATTTAATGGATTGGACTGTTAAAGAATTAACCAAATGCCAACAAACTAAGGGTACGTTTACACAATAATAGTGTGCTAAAAATGGAAATTTTTTTTTTATTATTATTTTTTATAGATGGCGTTATCAAAACGATCCCCGGTCACATGGATCCACGGAAACGACTAATAACGCTGTATTATGCATGCCAGACAGGTAGTTGGCGATGTCACGTTGTGATGCGCACATATGAACACACATGCCTGTAGATACAAATTGCAAAATCTATCATTGTTTTGTCAGATTTTCATTCGAAGGATGTAAATCTTGATAATACTGTATTATAGAGTGCCGAAGTGATGACGTCACTTTGTAGGACAACTCGGAAGCTAGGGGCGCATGGGCTCCCTCGATCGAAAAGCTATGCATTTTACCTATAGACTTTTGGAAAATCGCAAAAAATAAGATCTTTGTTTAACAAAGAGTTGTGACCCTTACATGTTTTGTCTATCAAGATAATCTCTACAAGTTAATCCAAAATTTATACATTTTGAAGCCTATATAAAGTTTTTAAAAAACACAAGCAGACACAATAAAGTAAAAAAAAAAAAAAACAAGCTGGTTATAACTGCGTGTTCTATGTCATAGATCAAAACGTGAAAATATTTAGAGGCTTTGTTCACCACAGACCTTATTTCAGGCGATTTAGGAAAAACCCATTAAAAAAATCCCATAGACTTTACAGTGAGGGAACCGGTAATGCTAAAATGCTAACTCACTTCCACGTTTTGGCCTACAGAGTGATATCATAACTTCGGCACTCTATTGCTTGGTTGTTTGGGTAAATTCCATCTGCACAAAGCCAGAAATATTCACTATAATGCCAATTTTAGCAAAAACGCATAAAAAGTCTTCCGTTTTTAGTTGAAAATGTTGTCATGTTCATGGAACTTAACATGCCAACTCCAAACCCATAAATGTAACAAATATTAACATAACCATCAAGAACAAAAAGCAAATAAGTTAGCACTCACCATGAGGATATGCAATTGAAGTGGCACAAGTCTTGGATGTGGCAGCAGCCAGCATCATTCCAACAAAGTCTGAAGCGTCTTTTACAGATTCATCTTCATCATCCATGTTAGAGTTGGCCTTGGACTCAATTAGTTTGCGTTTAATGCTTTCATAGATGACAAAGTGAATGACAGTCTCTGATATGCCAGCATAAGAAGCGGACATGCCCCTGTAGAATCCCCGTAACCCATCTGACCGATAGACACGCCGGACGCACTCAAATGCACTCATGCGCTGTTCTCCACGGTTCCTAAAAAAATGTCAGAAATCTGGTTATGATATTTCTTCCTTTAATGTCTCCTAAAATATCTGTTTCAATGAGTGCTGTACTGAAATACAAGAAAACAAGCATGCTAGCTAGAAATTCTCATTGGTTCAAAGGATAAAAAAATCCTCTCCCAAAATTCTATTCAGTAAGGATGCAATAAATTTATCAAAAGTGAAAGTAAAGACAAGTAAAGATTTTGTTTTAAATTGTAACAATATTGCAAAATACTATATTTTTGATCAAATAATGCAGCCTTGGTGAGCATGAGACTTCTTACAAAAACTTCAAACCAACTCTAAACTTTTGAACGAATAGTATTACTTACCTGGCATCAAGCTGCAATCGAGTCTTTATAAGCCAGATCGGGTTGGTTACTGTGATGGCAGTGAACCCTGGGAAAAAGAGGTGTTCCAGATTAGTCTTGGAAATGATATTGTCAAAGCAACTCAGACCACTTTCAGCAGGTCTAATGAATGACTCTATAAATACAAACTTTCACTAAAGAAACTCCACACTTCAGAAAAATGCTGTGGACCTCTGTAAAATATGCTTATGGCCTGTTTGTTTCGGTTTAAAATGTATAATAGCCTCTAGCTGTGGCATATCAGGACACGTCACACCAATCTCATACACCAGCAACGTGATATGGACTACAAGTTCCCCCTCAGGAATGGCCAGCATCATTAACAGCGATTACCATCTAACGTCAGGAAAACCATTGCAGATCCACTAGGCACTTATTTAATATTTTAGGAAAAAGAGCCATAAGCACATCTTAAAGTGGCCACAGCAGTAAATAAGGCCTTTTAGCTAATGCATTAAGCAGTTTTTCATCTATAACAGGACTCTAAAACCAATGTAGCTTTACTTCTTGAATATTTAGCCCTATCCTCACAGAATTAAAGAGTATTTTATGGATCGAGTGGAAGCTAAATTAGATTAACATCTTGAGAAAAGAGTCTTAAGTTAAAAAGAACCACTACCCAGTTACATAACTGCAGTCAAATGACAAAAACTGTTATTTACGTTAGGTAAATGGCTGTTTTACACAGCATGGGCAGTGAATTATACCACCGCTGTGATGTAGTTGAAAGGCATGCAAGTACTATGCCGGCAAGATTGTGTTATATGACAAAATCTTAGCAAACGAGATTAGAACAACAGTGACTACGTTTACATGTCCACCAATATTGAGATTTATTACTATTGTTATTATTATTTTTTTTTTTACAATAATCAGAATAAGACCTTAATAGCAGTAAGCCGTTTACATGACATGAGCAAATCTATTCACTCCAGTTAACATGCAATTCACATTATTCTGAATATTAGCCAAGAAGTGTGGTTATTTTTACTGCCATTCTTCACATACCCCAATACATTGCACAAATGATGAACTCATGTACAGTAGAGGTGTGTTACTGGCCACTGTTTTAATCTACTTTGGTCAAATGTAAAACACATTTCTATGGACGTATCGTACATTATTCGGGAGCGTGATGAACATAGCAATGCTGCCTTATCTGGGGTTGCACCGATTCGATTCGAGTGGAGGGAAAGTGGTGATAATGCAATTAAGATGTTTAAATGACTACTTTTTGTGATTAACATCGGCATACGCCACATAGTTTAAAGCAATTATGGTTACTATGATTATGAGTTTAATTGCATTATTTTGATCCAAGTACTGTGTTTACATGAGGTGAAGTTTATTCGCAACATTGCTAAAATCCCATTATAATCATATTTAGGGATGCACGATATATCGGCCACATTATCGGTATCGGCCGATAAATGATCATTTTTAATTTTATCGTTATCGGCCCAACAAGAACATTTAGCCGATATCTAAAAGCCGATAACTAATGTATTATTTCCTTCAGCTGAGGCACTTTAGATGTGCACTGTTCAACATGATGCTTTTAAATTGCTTGAAATATGATTGAAATCACTTTAAAAAAGGAAAATCCAGTTAAAGTGCAAAATGTGCAGCGCAAGTCTTGTCATATCGGCTACAGAATATTAAAACAAGAACATCATAATTGTGTTTGTATCTTGACTTTTAATGAGGAGATTTTTTTTTTTTTTTAATCAGGCTGTCAAAAATTGTCTAAAAATCTGGATTTAGATTTATCGGCCAATATATCGGTTATCGGCTTTCAAATATAAAGAACTATCGGTTATCGGTATCTGCCAAAATTGTCATATCGGTGCATCCCTATTTATGAGGGTGTATGTAAACGTAGTCAATGTCCAAATTTATTTCTAGGTATGTGTTTGCAAATTAAGAATACGTGCATCTTAAAAGATTTAAGTGTGCTTGCATTGTATTATCAGCATTTAAAGCAACAGCAAAATATTCTGCCTAATGTTGGTGAGCACAATTAGTTTATCTGTTCAATTGAAGCAAAATGAAGCACAAAGCCTGTGCTTGTTGTTGTGGGTGCACAAAATATCCCCGAACAAAAAAAAAAAAAGAAAGAGAGAGAGCATAAGACAATGGCAATTGAAGATGAAGGTATTCATGTGCATTTCTAACAGTACAGTGTAAAAACATCAGTGTTTGGCTAAACAAACCAAAAGAAGTCTATTGAGCTAGAGAAGAAGCTCTAGAGAGGGTAAGAGGCCTAAGGCAACTGACTGGTGAAGGGGAAGGGGGGATGACAGATCGGTACAAGAGAGTAAGAGAGAGAGAGAGTGTCTCTGACGAGTACTCACAGGGGAGGGGCAAAGCTCCTCTCCTCACAGCTGCAGGACGAAGCCTGCAGATATGGGGGGCAGAGCAGGCTGGCTCACAGACCCTCACGCAGGGTGAAAGCTACAGTAAAGGCCTAAAATAGACACAGGCTTTTCTGTACCACAGTAACAAGCAGCAGTCCACATGCCCCTCAGAGCCAAGTCAAACCCATGAGGGAGTGGAACCATCAAAATAAACCCTGCCCACCTCCCCATCCCAGCCCCGCACACCAATTACATCAAACAATGACCAACCACCAATTTAAACAATTAAGAGAGTGCTTTTATTTTTTTTTCCTTTCCTTTTTATTGATAGAGAGACAGAGAAAGATGATTAGAGAGGTAGAGAGACAGAGAGAGAGAGAGAGAGAGAGAGAGAGAGAGAGAGAGAGAGAGAGAGAGAGAGAGAGAGAGAAAAAGAGAGAGAGAGAAAGAAATTTTTGAGTTTTAAAGGACATCATTATACCAGTGTTGTTCATTTTATATGTAAAGATACAGAACAGAGTTGATCCTGCTGCAGTATCACTATTTATCTTGACCATTTATGAGCTTTATCAATGCTGGGTCATATAAACAGCTACAAAATAAAACTAGGATTAAAGTTTATATAAACAATAACTTTAGGAGGGTCAGAGGCAGTGCATGTAAAAGTGCAATGCTAACCTTGTCATTCCTGCTGGCAAAATTATTGCCGAAAACAAATTCTGAAAGATTCGATTGTGATAATATTTGGAAAAGTATTTGGAAAATACTACTTCTGAAAAAATTGATAGTGAATATGTTGGTTCATATGTAGGGTTTTTTTTTTTTTGTTGTATTTTTTAAAATAAAAATATGTTTATATATTACATCCAAAATGTCTGATATAACTAATAAAAAATTCTCTAAAATTTCTACATTTTTAAAATTGTAAAGATTTTTAACATTAGCATTATGCTAATGCATTAGCATTTTCCAAAGATTTTTAAAATGACAAATTATACCATTAGGATAATAATTTGAGTGAAATGTTAAATTTCATCTTGTGCTTCAATGGAAGCAAAAAAAAAAAAGATGTTTAGTAGAAAACAGGTGAAATCCTCAATGTCACACGTGTTTACTTGATTAAGGTTAGAAATTATTGTTTAAATATTTTGAGACAGAGCAATTGTTTCAATGTTGTTGAAATGTTTTCTATTTTATTATATTTTCAAATGTATTCCTATGATCCCAAAACTGAATTATTCAGTGTCACATGATCCTTGATGTACCATGATGCATTTTTTTTCAGGATTCTTGGATAAATATTTTATAACATTAAAAATGTCTTTACTATCCTGTCACTTTTGATCAATTAAATGCATCCTTACTTAATAGCAGTATTTAATTATTATTTTTTATGATAGTGTATTTGTAATATACTGTTTAAACATCTACTGCAACTTTTAAAGATGTTTAATCACACCATGACTTTGTCTGGCTCTATATGACTCAGTCATAACCTAATCAGAAAGATGAACAATGTGTGGGCCATAAGTGGCATGCATCAGGTTGCATGAACTGAGCTGGAGGGAACTGTAAACTGATGCCAATACAAAGACCAACTAAGAGAGAGAGAGAGAAAAAAAAAAAAGTCACCTATGCTTTTGAGAAGAGAGCGGCACATGTAATGAATATTTCACAGCCTGTCCCTTATCGGATGCCAATTTTCCATCGCAGGCCTTCGAGAATCTATATTTAACCACTTTTGTAATGCAAAGGCTATCTGTGGAGTTTCTCAGGCCGAGTGGCCCCTCTTATCAACGATGAACAAACACAACATGCTAGGAATGTTTACGTTGTGACACTGTCTTGAAAAATAATGCATAGCCTACATACTGCAATCGAATGACAAGGTTAGCATTCAGTATTGAAATTAAATGACAAAAAAAGTAGTTTTTCACTGAATTTACCTTTTTAGGGGGTTACAGGCTGGCAAGGGGGCCATGTGTCAAAACTGTATAATCACAAGCAAGTTAAAAAAAAAAAAGAAAAGAAAAGAACTACAAGCCAGCTACAGTGGCTACATTAAATTAAATAACCATCATTATCATTTATTAATCATCATTATCATTAGGAGAATCATGATCATACCGGTGAGTAGAGACGTGACTACCTGAGGCGTCCCGATCCCGCCCGTGTCAGTCGCGAGGACCGCTGCCCACCGCGCATGGCACTCTACATGTTAGCGTAGCGCCCTGCTAGCGGCCACTACTACACACAGCACAGAGAGCGTGTGAAGCCAGACTTTTTAGTAGCACACTGGCATGTAATGACTTATGTCCTCCAGCCCTCAAAAGGTAGAAGAAAAAAAAAAAGGAAAAAAAAAAAAGAAACTGGGAAAGGAAAGCACAATCCAAACTTAGAGGATCTTTTTTTTTTTTTGCAATATTGCTAACAAGCTTTCAATTAGTCTATATATTAATATAGACAATTTTTCACAGAAAATTTTAAATTCTAGATGTCCCATTTTCTGTGTTGCTTACATTCTGTAAATAAATATTTAAATCGATCAAACTGAAACTAAGGCTTAGGGTGCTCACACACTGGCCTCGTTTGCACTCAACTTGATTTTATCATACACAGCGCATGATTGAAAACAGATTGCGGGTCAATATATTGTATTTTTTATTAATTTGGAGCAATTATGTGCAGCTGAGTGAACAACACAGGTTTACTGCGTGTGTGTCCCATAAGTTGGTTTTCTGTTGCTTGCAAACGGACTCTTTTGAAGAGACAGTGGATTTCTATTAATTATAAAATATTTAATATTCTATAAAATCCCTAGATAGGGGATTCCACGCAGTATGCGCGTATGCACTACAGGCTCACTCTTCCTTGTATCCGCAACGTACATTATCAACACTATCACCCCTTACATGTGTTTTGTTTTATTTAAATAAATAGATCATAATCAGGTAAAAACTCATTCACAGGTTACTAGAGCGCAGTAACAAGTCCCTGTTGCTTCAACATTCACTCCAACTGCGGTATGGTTCGGGAGCAACCGAACTTGGACCAACTCGTCTAGGTAGTCTCAGGTTCGGTACCCCAGTGCGCACCTGGGTCCACATGACAACGTTAACATTAGCGTTTTTTTTTTTTTTTTCATGCGAACCATGCCCTAATCCGAACTTAACTGCCAGTGTGAAAGCACCCTAAGAGTAGACAAAGAGAGTCAAATATTTTCAAAAAGATTTGCTTGAATATTTTTAAGCTTGGAAAAAGAAGCTTAAATTATGTCTGCTTTAAAGTAAATTGATCCTGAAAGTCTTTAATTGTGCTTTCGGTCTAGATGCTGTCATACCTTGAAAAAGGTAACCCAAAACACGAGGCAAATACCATGTCTAAATTTTCCCATTTGTACTAGATGGTCAACTAGGATAAAACAATTTATCGTAATAAGGCTGTAATTGGTAAAATCAAAAGCCACTGACAAACATCGGTTATAAAAACCCAAATGATGCATTCTCTTGTTTGTGCACACTAAAAGGTGAGTATTAGTTTAGTTCAGTGTGTGAAATACAAACAAAAAAGAGCCAATGCAAACTTAAGTCAAAAAATGCATGAAAGACGTGAAAGATGTTGCTGGGACTCTTACCTGCTAAACCAGCGGACAGCATGTGCACCTGTGTGGAGTCAGGATCAAACACATTGTTCAGCTTCTCTTTGGCTGTGGAGTAGGCAGCAAAATATATTGCCCTATGGACGAAACAGAAATGAACAACATAAATTGATTTGAAGGATTTCAATATTTCAGTGTTCATTAGAAGTGGAAGGGACAAAATCTTTCGTTCTTTATTTAAATCTTTCATATTTTATTTATTTATGTTTTTCACATGAATATTTTTGGGAAGTGTTGTCTGCACACTGTCCATGTGGTGTAATTTTCATCATCGGGAGGGTCCGCAGCGCATCGCCAACAGCGCATTCGCAAGGTGATTGTTTAGACAGAAGAGTCAACTAGGTGGCAATACGCACAGTTGTGAATGATGTACTGTGCAGTTTTCAAAGAAAAGTGGGGAAAGAGTGATACAAAACAGTAAAACAGGGTGGCATCGCTTTTGCTTTGGTTCTTGCACACAGTGGCGGTTCTGTTACTTTTCTGTTTCTATCCTTCTGAGGTAATGTCTATTAAATCACACGACTCAGTGCTGCCCTCTGAAGTCTGATAGGGTATAAAAAGCAATTACACTGTGCATGTAACGAACATGTTCCACTCGAGATGGAGTGGAACGTGAAACATTAAGTATCAGTGCCTTTAGGGCAGGAGTGGGCAAACTTTTTGGCTAAAGGGTCAAACTGAAGCATTTTAAAATTTGACAGAGGGCCGGCCCAGTAGCAGCAAAAACATTTACATTGAGGCAACGTCTGCGCGACATTCAACAACTCAGAGACAATGTTGTGATTATGCTATATAGACAGGGGCGATTCTAGGATTTTCATTTTAGTGGGGCTCGACACCCAATGAGGGTATGTTTTAAAACACTTTAGTTTAGGGTCTTATGCTCACTATTAACTAGTTTCATTAACATATGGCAGGGTTTTATAATACCTGAGGTCCTGAATGTTAGGTAGGCTAGTTATTAAAAAATGTAGATTTCCACAAATCTACATATGAACATTTTAAGATGTTTTGAAGGCCAAAATATTGGATAACAACAGCTTTAAAACCAGTGGGCAGCTGATTATTCCTTATCAGCATTACACTCTTTTTCTCCATGTTTTTATCTTGTCTCTTCCCCTCCCAAAGCTGAGCTTTGACTGATATAGGCTTTTGACAAATGTCTTAAATGAACAACTACTAATTGACTAGAAAACTTTAGTCGTACATGGGCAGCCCTATTTATATTTACATATTTTTGAACCAGCATGTCACAAAGGGCATTCTGGGTTGAGCCAGCGGAGCGTAATCTCCAGAAAGGCGTTCTCCGCTCTGGAGGAAATATTACCACTCCGCTCACATGCCCTGGTGTGAGACAATGTGTATCTTCTTCTGTTATCTGAGAATTGATTGACATGTTTTAAGTGCGTTATCGGCAACGCCACCCTATAGTTGCATGGACGCGTCACCACCGCATCAGAACCGAAAACATGGGGATTTATAATCATGACTCATAAATCAGGAGATCAGATCACATGTCGTGTATTAGCTACCAGAATTATTTTCTTAGAAAGGGCAAATGCTGAAAAACATGAAGAAGAAAACAACAGGATTATTTAAATGAAAATTTCCGATGTAGGATTTAAGCCTTCCACAGCGGGAAGGTTTTTTTCCTTTGCTTTAATCTGTTACATAATTCTCTCTCTCTCACACACACACACACAGACAAAAACAGCAAATTTAAGTCATCACTGAGTGACCTGCCAAAAAGCTAAGCAGCCATTTGTTTCCTTATAACACATGATTCTTCCCGTCTCTTCTTCAGCCAATCAGTGCTCTTTTTCCGTTTGAATGACAGCCAATCAGATCCCAGTCAAAACATCTCCCAATCCTGTGCGAGTAATGATGCTGTAGTTTGGTGCACGGCTTAATTTGACCATCTAAATGAAATAACGTGACCTTCACAGGAGGATGTTACATAACCTCAAATTGGATCTCGGATCAAAAAGCTTAAATTAATTATGGTTTACAATCTTGAAATGTAGTTATATAGTAGTACCGGTAATTTAGTTAAGCATGTGAATATAAGCACATACCGAGCCAACCAAGTTACTTCTACCTACGCGTGGATTTAATCTTTATGTAACACGAATGGTCACGAGGCAGCCATTCCAGCTGTGATGGCAGAGGACACACAGGACAGGAATGCTGAGAAACACATGCACAGATGGGGAGAAACACACTCATACACACAGATCTCCTACAGCATGAAAAGGGTGCAAACACTGCAATTCAGATATTTTAAGTGGTTTAGTTGCAACACCATCTCCCACATACCAATATAAATTAGATTAAACTGCTCAGACATGCACATAAAGCTCAAGTGAATGAGGGCATGAGAGCAGCTAGTCTGTAGAATGATGATGACACACTGCAGTCAATGAACAAACTGATTCATACAGGAAAGAGGGAATATTTACTGGAGGTAACGAGTCGATATACACTCAATACAGAGCAGAGAATGTAATCACTTTCATAGACAATACTAAATAGGGGTGTAACGGTACATGTATTCGTATTGAACCGTTTCGGTTCGAGGCTTCCGGTTCGGTACGCATACAAACCGAACGATTGCTTGGACCATTTTTCCTGCCGGCAAAATTCGAGCTGACGCGGCCAACACAACGTTGCGCAACATCAAATGGCAAGCGTAATGAAAGCAGAACGAAACTGCGCTGCTCGTTATGTGCTTCATGGATCGTTTATCAGTTCGGACTAGAGTTGTGACGTTCGCGAACGAACCGATTCTTTTGAACAGCTCATGAACATGAACGATGGGAGCCGAGTCGCGGCTGGAGGGGAGCCGTTCTTTCTGTCGTTCTTTTTTTCCTTTGCGTGTTTTACACAGATGCATTAGCTCCTCGGTTAAAGGGGAAGGGGCGCACCCAGCGCAGGGGTGATAGTTGTGCACGCGCGTGCATCTTTTACTCTTACGTTATCTTTTATAACCCTACGTGCCTATGTCATTATGTGCACGCTGCCATCACATGGTTACTCCAGTTAAAAAAAGCCATAAAGTAAGGAACTGCTTGTATTTATTTACATTGCATTTTATCTACAGTATATATTTACAACTTTAAATATTTTTTGTTTTTTCTTGTGGTATTGTATGAATAACATAAGTCAACAGCTTTACACATACCCACACTTTGTACTAAATGTACAATTCACCATGGATTTAATGTAGTAACACTAACTGGAACCAGTTTGGCTGGAATGGTGAAATGCTTTCAAGTACTTCACACATCTTTTTCCAGCACTTCAAAATTCAAATATTATATAAATAAATAAATATATATTTAAATGTTATTTTTAATGTGATGACCAAAACATTATTTGTTCATCCTTCAAAGATGACCCATTTATAAACCTGAAAGTTTCAAGATCTAGGAAAACTCACACTTATTTAAAAATATTTTTTCTTTAAACAAATAGTAAATTTCTCTGGCATTTCTTTCTTTTTGCTGTATCGAAAACGTACCGAACCGTGACTTTAAAACCGAGGTACGTACCGAACCGTGATTTTTGTGTACCGTTACACCCCTAATACTAAATATAGTAGCCATTTACCATTACCACTCTTCTGGGACCCTTCCGTTTGGGTACCTAGCACTAGGGATGGGACGATAACCGGTTTCACGATAAACCGTGATAAAATGTACTGACGGTTAGTATTATCGTTTCAAATTTAATTATCATTAAAACCGTGTTTGATTATCGCGATTTTAATAACTCACTGAATCCTGTCGGCCAGTCTGGCGCAGGTGCACAGCACGCAATATTTTTTTAAATTACTATTCGAGAAGGAATGGTGAAAGGCAGTGACCGTGCTCAGGAGATTTTTCAGCCTTTTAAGAGGACCAAATCTGAGGTGTGGTCATATTTTGGGTTTTACAAAAGTCCTGAGGGAAACTTGATCGAGGATGGTCACCCTGTCTGCCGAACAAAAAACAAAAAAGAGGCTTGCTTTATTTGTTGTTTGTTGATTTTCAATTATAAAACTTGTTGAAATGTTTTCAGTGTGAGCATCAGTTCTTTTTGAGCACTTTCATACATTTTTAACAAAACCGTGATAATATTGATAATCACGATTATTTTGGACACTATAATCGTGATATGAAATTTTCATACCGTCCCATCCCTACCTAGCACAGTAGTCCTGCACCAAAAGGGTGGCGCTAGACTCACTACAGAATGTTTAAAGATTGACAGAGAATTGTCACTTGCGCATGCTACAAGGGGACTGACAACACAGGAGGCGCCATTTTTTAAATATATGGTTGCAACTCAATTTTGGCAGACAGCAAATGTACCATGGCTGACCCAGGAGCAGGAGGTGCATATGCTGTGTATAATTATTGTTTATTGTGTCTCTTTCTTCTTCACACTTTAATGACGTTGATCATACTTTACGGCATACACCATGCCCATCAAGTCAGGGTAAAACTGGTAGTGGAAACACAAGCCGGATCAGGGTTTACCGTCCCTGTACAGTACTTGTAAGGTTGGTGGAAACAACCCAGAAGTAAGCGGTGAAACAACAGAGGACCCATAGCCAGTTTAGTCTGTAATAAGACAGTGACATGGTCCCCCGATGATGGTACACTGAGATTAGAGCAATGAGACATGACCATCAGGCCCTTAAGTAAAACAGTTTAAGGGGGGAAAAATGTTTCTTCCATCTTGACTGCAATGAGAAAATAAAGCAACCCCAACAAGAAACAGTGAGGAACACACACACAAATGTAAACATATACGTCTGTGACAGAAAATTAGCCTAGTTACAGCTAATATTTTCTGAAGGACATGTTTGCTTGCATACATCTATCTATAGTATCACACTTTAATATTAAGGTTTCTTACAAAACAAAGATGATTTTAAGCATATCAAGATGAATAGGTAGATGCAAAATTCACACACACACAACAAACCATTTGAAGTCAGTGAGAAGTAAAAATCCTATTCATTTTCTCTATAGGGAAATAAATTTATAACGATAACTTACTGTGAACTACAAGGATGTTTCATGCTTTTGTTTAAGCCATCAGACCACAACTGTTTTTTTAAATATTCATGGGGAATTCCAGGTGAAAAGCTACATTTACCGTGATTCTGCAAAGAAATCTCCACCAATCATGTAATCACAATAAGCAAATCACACCAAATGAACCCTTTAGCACCTGCCCACTCTCATGAAGTAAAGTTCGTCTCCATACATCAAACTACTTAAATCAGCTTTACCTTTAGCTTTGATTACTGAGTGCATTCATCATGGCATTGTTTCAACAACATTATGCAACATCACAACTAGACATGTGCCGCCGGTATATGGTAATACAGTTTATCACGTATCACGATAATGTTAATTTTAAAAATATTTCTAAAAAATGTACTAATCTTAGTTAATGTATGTTCAACATTTAATAACACTTTATTCAAATCAAAAGTTGTATCTGTATTATTTAATTGATCTGAGCTAACATGAACTTTAACAAAGAATAATAACTTCAGTAACAAATGTAGCCATTGCTCATTGTTCATTGCATTATTAACTTTGCATTTAAGTCAATTGTATTAAATAACTTTAACTAATGAGATCTCATTGTAAAGTGTTTACTATTGTTGTTTATAATTCTTTTAAACTTTAATCTGTTTGAAACATTTGTTTACTTAATAAATTTGTGTGTACTGGTTTATTGAATTTAAATTAAAGGTATCTTACAGTTATTAAACCTGTTATTGTGACAACACTTTTAAAAGCTTCAACAATAATAGCAACATGACAATTTTATACCGTCACATGCCTAATCACAACATTTATTTTCACCAAGAGTTTGTCAGAGATCTTTATTTGACAATGGGAGAGTGGATTGGAACCACTATTCTAGCAAATGATTCCTGAACCACTCTTGCTAAATTTGAGCCCAATGAATCTATTGAACAACCCAATGGCTATTGAACACGTCTTCCAACATGGATGTTTAAATAAAAAGCTACACACTGCATCAGTAATGTTGTGATTCACCTTGTAGCTAGAGTCGTTTTTGTTGGTTTAAAACTCTTTAACAGAGACTTTTTTTTTTAATGGGAAGAATGATTGGGAAAAAACATTTCCAGGATCACGGCGACTGAAAAAGTGGGCGGCCACTGTTGCACTCTATAGCATTTGTGTTTTTGCATACGGGTCATACCTGGATGGAGCCACTCCCACCAAGTTCGGCCCCAGGCCCCTAAAGAGTGAGCGAGGACCTTCTTTCTCCAGTATTAACCTGAGAAAAAAAATAGAGAAAGTTAGAACAGTATACGTAACCGTGTTGTAACTTTGCCATTATGGTGATCGTTAATAATGGAAGATTTAACAAAATGTAACATTTTGTTGCCATAACATTCAACACTTGCTGCATCATCTTTAAAAAGTTATCCAGACTAACTGAAGGGTTTGAGATGAAGTAGGCAATTGTGAGAACCAATGCCAAGCTGTACCTTAATCAGTTATCTACTGTGTTTAATTGTATGTGTGATGGTTTTAGCTACACAGACAACAGTAAACAGGGCTCTGAATGTGTAAGTCAGATCAACTAAAAAGAGGTTAAGAGCATTCAACAAATCCAGAGGTGGGTCAAAGTCGATGTTTTCCTTGGAATTGCACAAGACATGTTCAGACTTTTCTAGAATTATTTTTTCCAATATTTTTTTATTCTTTTTTTAAACAGCATCTGCAACTCATTTTCTTCTGACCTACTTTTCAAACTTTTTCCCTCTGTTTCTGGAGTAATACAATAGGCCTGTATACCAGTGCTTGCCAGAGGCCAAAAAAAGTGATTCTAATCCTGGAAAAGACAGCAAGCCTACACCCAGAAAACCATAGCATTGCAACATTTTGCCAGACTAGTACATGTGGCTTGTAGAGCACTCATAAAGACTACTAAGACTACTCTCAAAGAACCACATAATAGAAATGGAATGTATGAAGTCTCTAAAATGTATGAATTTAATATTTTTAATAGCCATTTGCCAATGTGACTGTACAAAGCCTTTTGCAAAAATGATTTGCAAAATAATAGCCAATAACAGGTATGAAAGCAATTGAAAGGCCATCAACCATGTTAGCAAAAAAAAAGACTGATGAAGGTATGTTGCTGGCATTAGGAAACATTATCCATATTCATCTCTTCATTGACTTTCTTGCCTTTTCGGTCACTACAGATTAGATGTCAACGATATATCGCTTTCACATGTTCATCAGCACTGATAACCAATTTCCGTAACAATTGGTTATCGTAAATAATCCACACCAATAGTTTTTCCCGGTTGAATCTGTTGTGTGAGCTGCTGCAAAAGGTGCCTTCTACCTTGGTGGTGTTTGTTTTGATAGCAGAATACATCAGATGTGGATTTAAAACTTTGACAACGTAAAGGGATGTATACACTACAGAACTTGTTGTCATATTTTAAATGGATTCATTTAGTGGCTAGATGCTTCATTAGTAGAGAACAGCAAATAAAATTGGCCGACATGGCTGAAAAGTCATTCATCCTATATCATTAAAATATTATAACGTAGCTGACAGGGGTCTCTGAATGTTTTGTAAAAAAAAAATATTTTTTTTTGGGGGGAGAACTAACATAACACATTAACATATCTACTGTACCTAATAGTTATCCAAAGGAATTGATATTGAATCAAGATCAGAATCAAATCAAATGATTTGAAATTGTGAAATGTGTGTTATTCAATAGTAAAAACTAGGGCTGGGTATCGATTCACATTTCAATTTCGATTCGATTTCGATTCGCAAGCTCTCAGTTCGATTCGATTTCGATTCTCGATTCGATTTTCGATTCTCGATTCCTGATTTGATTCTCGATTCAACTATAATGAAGATGTAATAAAAATCCTATATTTATAATTTATAAAAAAGAACAGTGGACATAAGTTTACTAGTGGTTAATTAATACAAGAAAATTAAGAGCCATAAACCTATAACACTTTTTATTTTAGGTACACTAAATGCATACAAAGATTTTGATGCAATATGCAAAAAAGAGTCGCACAGAACAGTCGCACAGCTTGATCAAACAGTATCATGTTATTTTATGTTTAAGATAGATAAATATATAAATATTTAGACATTTTTTACATTGATCTTACCTAAATGTTAATGTATTTTTTTTGTTATGAGTTTATTTATGGATGCTTGATTTCAATCTTTGAATTAAATTGAAAAACGTAGCACAAATAAATACAATAGAATAAAGACTCAAATTAAGAGACATTTTGGGGTAGTTTTTTGGCTATGTCAGAAATACTACAGAAACTGAATAAAGTAATCCAATGTAAAATAACACTGGATAGTCTTTTTAGTCCAGACTGAATTAAATACAAAGGCTATTAATTCTGATTGCTTACAATTAATACTATATTCTGTTGTTATGACAACAGAATTAATGACTGACACAAATGGCTGCGTTCACTTTAAGAACTAGTGTGCGAATCCATTACTGTTTCATTAACTTTCTGTCACACGCGTTTAATGCTAATTTAAGACATTACCGACTGTCTTTACGAGGTTACTCACCAAGACCAGAGTTTTGACATAATGTTGCGTGTTTTAACTGTTAAAGCGATATAATCCAGGGATAAAACTTTTGTTTCTGGCGAGCTGTTTGTGAGGCGGATTTAGGCTGTGCACGCGGTGAAAGAAATCTCTGAGAGTGCGCAAGCACGGGATGGTTTAACATTGCTTGAGCAAATGAATGATAAATGTTAGTTACGATCATAGGTCACGATGCAATGCTGGCCCGATTGTGCAAGTGAATATTCCGTCGTGTCCTGACTCCTAAACGCGTGTGTGTATCGACAGCTGCAGCGTTTAGCGCTTGCCTAGTGCAGAGAGACAAGAAGATGCAGCACCGCGTCCGCGAGCCTTTTATATGGAAAAAATCGATTCGTGGCCGTTGAGAATCGATTTTGAATCGACCACATTTTAAAAAACGATTAATCGAAAAATCGATTTTTTTGCCCAGCCCTAGTAAAAACAGTAGCATACCAGTTATTGCACCATGTAAACATTGTGTTTACACTTATTAATAAACGCTTATTGATAAACATTGTGTTTACATGGTTACTAAAATTGTTTAATTACCAAATGTTTTGACAATCACAATACACTTATTGATAAAGTTTTGCCAAGTTGGGTTTTGAAGTACTCACTTGAGACAGTGCAGAGGCCCAGGCGGGGCCACACGGGCAACACTGGCCCCATTCACAGTGCTGAGCTGAACCTCAGAAATGTAAAGAGTCACCGAAGAAGATTGCAGCCTCGTCTTCACCACCTCCAAGGGACATGTCAATATTGCACCTACAGTGCCACCACAGCTACAGAGAGAGAGAGAGAAATTATTTATTGTTCACGCAATATAATTTTTGCCAAATAACTAGTTACTAGTCACCTTTTTTTTAAACTATTTTGAAATATTTAGAGCAAGAAGTAAAATACAGTACACAGTACATTTGTACACAATTTAACAATACACATCATTAAACAGTAATATTAATCTACATACATTGCTGTTCAAAAGTTTAGGGTCTGTACGATTTATTTTTGTTTGTTTTTGAAAGACATCATGCTCACCAAGGCTGCGTTTTAGATATGAAAACAGCGATTTTGCTTTTGTCAAGAAAAAACTACAAGATCCAAACAGGCAAAATCCTAGATTGAAAAATAAGCTGCTGACATAAAGTGTTACATTTCAAGTGCCAGAGCATTTTCCTTCCGCTGATATGACATGCACAATGATTAGACTTGTAAGTCAAGGCAGCATTCAGCATTTACATCTGTATGTGGGTCAAGTTTAACATGTATTGGCTTGTGTGCATTAGGGGGAGCAGAAAATTAGGAGGCTAAGCCTGGAAAAGACCCACAAACAAAACCAAAAATACATTGCATACAATAGCAAACAAACCAGACACTTCTCAGTTGATGTCCACTAATTGACTTTAAAAAGCATCAAAACTGACTATCAACAATAAAATACCTTTAATTATGTCACTAAATGTCAAAGGTCTGACAAGACACCAGTCAATCAAACTAATAAAACAAACCTCAAACACATTGTTCTTCTTTTATTATGTGTGCATAAAGTTGACAAGGAAGCACTGAATGTTGATGACAAGCTGAACCAGCTGACCTCAGAAATGAATTTGTGTGCTCTAAACCTCTGAAGGTCTATTTTTTGTGCCACCTTTCGAAAGACACACATACAGAGAGCAGCTACGAACTTTGCCCCAGATATGCAGCCCTCTGGTTTCTTACTGCTAAGGTTTACACACTGACTCTCTCTCTCTCTCTCTGGTTGGCCGATGAACAGAACGATCATGCCGACTTCACAAACAAAACCCATTTGCCACTCCTACTAAAAAGCTCTACAGAGGCCTTTTAGAAAAATTCCACAAGATTTTTTTTTTATAACTCAGTTACTTATGGAATTTGACACTTTATAAAGACTATTACATAAAGAGAATTGTTTTTTGAAAAAAAAGGAAGTAGTCCCAGAAAAGAGGAAAGGAACTGCATTTGATTTCTTCTGAAATGCAAGACCAAATAGGCAAATGCGAAAGTGACCACAAAAGTGAAGTCCCCTGGTCAATGATTAGTTTAGTTTTGAAGCAAGAAAAAAAAAACAGTTTGCACTTTAGGTTTGTGTTCAAAGGGACGAAACTCCCAGGTGTAAACTAACAAAAGTCGGTAATGCTTCCTTTTACAGTTCAGTACTTATGCGTACTTACAGTGTACTTGCCTAGAAAGTAGTGGCTAATATAAGGTAAGTACATGGGTTAGGGTAAGGTTTAGGTTTAGTACCCAGTTTACCAAGTAAATGTAATTACTATAATAAGTACGTACATGGGTAACAAGACTGTATAAGGAAGCGTTACCCAAAAGTCTTTGCTAAAGTAACCAGCCCCACATAAACAGGACCTGATCCAAATTGAAACTCAAGTCCACTCAAAAGATCCCAGACACTGTCATCTGAGTAAACTAGCCTAATGTGTCCCACACAAGAACCACTTGATGTTACTCATGGACGTGTCGTGTACATTAACTTTTGTATTGTAAATGTACAATATTTTTTTTTTTTTAAATGTACAATAACTAAATGTTCCCCTAGGATATTTTTTTTTCCCTGGTTGCATTCGTATCACCATTTGGAAATTTGCAGTGATGCAAGCCATCGCTTACTACACCTTGCCGCTCTGGTTGTTGTGCAGGACTTTTATTTTGACGCCGTCGAAAATGATTTAGTCAGAGCCTGAGCACACAGAGCTCACATTCAACGTCTTCATTAGTTATCAGTTTAACAGTCCTATCTGATACATTATTAGATCGAACTGTTAAACGAAGAAAGGGAATGATACGAAAAATTATTATACTGTTTGCTGTGTGGTTGATGCCCAAAGTTGCTGAGCAGAAATACATGATCATGTGACTGTTTTCAAAGTCGCGTTGGATTTCCTTCTTAGCATAAAAGTTGAGTTGATCCATTTATCGCTCTTTTCCATGTTCGTGGAGTTGGCCTAAATAGGCTATAAACTGTGTGTTTACATGGCCATTTTAAAAATGCCGGGTTCCAGTGTTTCACATGTTTTTGGCCAATCAATGTACACTTGTTTCACTTGTAATACCTTTTTTGTGCTACTCTTAAGTAGGAGCTAACTTAGTTAGATAATGCCCTTTAAGGGTTAAATCTGTCATAATCTATCACTGTCAAGTTAGTGCTAAATTTAAAAAAAATTCAATTAAATAAGCATTTGATGACAAATAGCCAATATTGACTGATAACACAAAAAATATGATAGAAAATTGCAGCACATAAATGATATGCTTTCCCTAGAATTATTGTTATTTTTTATCATTAAAGTAAATGGTCACCAACCCATTTATAAGAACAGTTGGATGATATAGGATTATTTTAATTCTCAAAGTTGTTTTTTTTTTTTTTTTTTAACTGTTATTGCTATGCACTGAAAAAGGATTCTCATTAATTTTCAGTAATTATCTGTTTAACAGAACCATCAATTTATTTATCACAATTATTTCCAGGGGCAGGTGATCTATTCACTGCTCACAATTAATATAAATACAACTAATAACTAGTTATATTGACATGTCACAGAAAATGTATGAATGAGCTTATCTAAAACCATTCCCACCAACATTATATGCAACAACACACTTTAATTGTAGGAATATGATCAGATAGCACGTTATGCTGCTATTACCTCTTTTTTAAAAAAAAAAATAATAATAACTTGTTAGACCTCTTATCGCCCTCCTGGGTCGGAGTCATCAAGTGACCTTCAGAGATATGAGCTTATTAAAGAGTGATATACTCCCCTCATTTCTGCACATTCCTGATTATGAAAATTGGCGAGACAGCAACCTTTGATTCGCCTACAAATAAAATGACGTTTCTATGGGCCTCGCGGAGTGCCAGAGGGATATGCAGGAATGAGAATGGAGTCAAAAATAGTCGTATACTAGAGAGATCCCTGTCACACATCCAGCATCAAGCTGATAGTTGAAACCACAGGCCTACAACAAAGCCTCTGATTTGCTACAGGAAACAGTAATATGCTAACTTACAGGTTCACATTCATTCAAAGAGCACTATCGAGTTTATCGTGTCTCTAATCTCATTATGCATGTCACAAAACATGAGTGAAAGCATCGAAGAAACAGCACTTCCTGAACAACATGTAACGTTACGTTAACCGCCTTTTCTGGAGAGTTCCGGAGGATTCTGTGACTAATTCAGAAGAGATCATACATGACCATTGCATGACCTTGCACTTACAAATAAAGCATCCGAAGACATGCTGACAGACACCTAAATTTTTTACAGCAATGTTGAATGAGCATCTATCGGACATTTTTTTATGGTCGACCTGTTATTTTGCTTTGCATGTACCTTATGCTACATATTAAGAACAATCAAGCTATAACGGATACATGTCAACGAGACGGGTTGAAAGCAGTGATAGATCAGTCTGTCTCAGGCTCGCTACTCACCCTCCAGCAAATAGATGAACCAGTGTGTCCCTCTGACTCATCCTTTAGCATTCTCCGCACCCACAACCAGGCCTGCAGTGCGAGCAAGAGCCGGACAGCTCCGCCGAACCCCGCTGCGATTCTGCTGGACAGTCTCAGTTTAATTGATGTGGATGACGGTTCTCATGCAAACAATTATTAAGCCCGAGGTCTCGCGGGCGAAATGCGTCGCGCGATGCGGCTAGCTCAGCCTGCTAACGGCTGTCGATGTGCGCAGATGCCTATTTTTTTCCCTCTGACGGCTTCGCTTTTAATTTATCTCGTTCTTTTCTTATAAACAACACAGACAGCTATCTGATTTCTAGGTTGTGGTTGCAGGGGACGCGTTTTTTGTGGAGCTAAATCCGTGTAGAATATGTATTGCCAGTGAATCAGAGGCTGGAGAGAAATGACTGAGACGGACACAAGAGTCGCTATTTACGAGCCAATCAGACACCGCAAAACAGAGTCCGCGATTGGACGGTTTGCTGCGTGACGTCAATTACCCCGCCCTATCATGCCCCTTTCACATGATCGGGGAATTGATGAATCGTAAATATTGATTTATCCCGTTTTTTTTTAGAGGTTAAGGGAAGACACATATTTGACATTTGTTTATATGCAGAATACAACTATGCTGCTTTTATAGCCTAGTTCCCCTGAAACGTTAACAAAGATTACTTTAGCAGACATACGACAATGTCATACAGTAGCCTATTTATATATTTTTTTATTATTTGTTTGATAAAAAACGTACTTATTCCTTCATTTTTATTTGAGTAGGCCTATTAATACCAGACCTGAGTTGTTCTTGGAAAACATACCAGGGAATTATTTAGATGTGATTAAAATCAGGGAAATCTGTGAAGTTCATGTTATTTAAATTGCATAAGCTGATGTGATTTTATTTCCTAGTTATGCACAGTTCTACAAAATCTATTTGACTACATGTCTCTGTGTGAGTGCAATCACTATAAAATTATTATTTAAAAAAAATACTTATATAATAATCACAAATGCATGAAAAAGTTACATAATGCATGTCAAAAGGAATGGGAACACTGTAATATGTAAATGAGTGAAGACCCGTGTCTGTCAGCAGACAACAGTTACAGCATCCCTTATAAGAAAATTTGGTTTCCTTACTAAATAGCTGAATAAAATGCACACGCCTCTTGGTTTCAAGATTAGAGCTACAAGCTCAGATCATGTGCATGGCAAATCTAATTTCTTATGGCATGCCAACCTAATAAAATACAATGAGAAAGTGGTGCAGACAGGGTCTTCTCCCTTCATTAAAATTGTTCAGATAGCTGACTTATGACCGCTTTTTTTTTCTTTTATAGATAAGGCCATGACATTCACAAGACCAAATATAACTGCAAGAACAATGACCTCAAATTAGGATGACCTGATCAATCAAGTACCTCCGAACTGTGATGTCAGCTAAGTTTAAGTGCAATTGAACTGATTTTTTTTCTTTTTCTCTTTTTAGATTTTGTTTTGGACTTTTTGTTTTGCATTTGAGCTTGAGAGATGATGATAGAGAAAACATGAGGATGATGGCATCAGCATGGAACAAGCCGTCTTTCACACCAACTGGCAAAATTGTCCTTAATAAGTCAAATAAATATATGATCAGCTTGTGTCATTTACGTGTCATGCCATGAGAAGGGTCACAAAAAAACTGCAATATAATTTAAGTTCGATGCACAGCAACTTGGAATCCATTAGATCGTACATACTCTCATTTAGCAATGGGCCCAATCTGGTGCTGGAAAAAATAGGTCCATGATTAACTGTGCAGCACTTTATTGCAACTCATATTGCCAAAGAGAACAAAGTTCACCATCAAACATGCTGTTCATTTCCATTCTCTATAGCTATTGCTGGAATTGTTTTGAAAATTCAGTGTCTGAATCTTTAATGTATTGCATTTAACTAAGTCATGACTTAAATCAGCTTAATATTAAACCATGACATAAAAATCTAGCAATGATCAGCAAAAGAACTTTGTTTAACATAGATAAGGGTTCTAAAATTAGACATCACAAGCTTGCTTGACCTAGTCTGAGCAATTGTCTTTAATCATTTTATGGTAGTGATTTAAAAAAAAAAAAAAAACTAAACTATTTATTCACATTAACAATGTATTTAACTTTTTTTATTACAACAAATACAGCAGATAAATAACACATCATTTCACAATTCAATGATGATTTTCCATGTGTGCTCTAATTTTCTTTATTATTTTTTTTTTCTTATTTAATGCTGATACCATCAAATGGAAAATAAAATTCATTATGAGCAATCTTACATGGTCAATAAAAAAAAACTATTATAATTCTGAAGTTCTGACATTTTTTAATTCTGAAAAAATGTTTAGCCCACATGAACAGAAATAGATTTATAAATGACACGAACGTAGCAAATGAAGCAAATTATCATTCCGAAACATTTAGTAAGAGCTGTGTGTGGTGAGGTTCTCATCGCCGCTTTCTCGGTCTGATTCTGCCTCAAACTGCAGTTCACACCATTATTTACATTTGAGTGCAGGCACGTTTCGCCCGTAAAGGTAATGGGCGTGAAGTATCCCAGCCCATTCTCACCCCCAAGGCGTCACTTAACTGCCTTGGGAAGCATTTGGACATGCTTCAATATCTGACGCTTTAGGCGCCCTTTAGCGTCAGTTAAATGACGCCCTAGGATCGCGTGTACCCTACCCCCACCCCACACCTAAACCTAACCGCGTCCTCTAACTGACGCTTTCCTTTAGCGTCAGTTAGATGACGCCGTAGGATCGCGTCATGTAAGTGACGCTAAAGGGCGCCTAAAACGTCAAATATTGAAGCATGGTCAAAGGTGACGCCTTGGGGTGAGAATGCGTTGACCATAAACACAATCATGCAAAGAAAAAAAAAACAGTCAACCCCCCCTTTAAAAAGCCTTCCGGGCAAAAACCCGGCTAAAACACGTAAACAGGCCATGATATGTAGTGAAAAAATGCTCAATCTGGCAACACCAGCCACCAGTGTTGCACCGCGGCCACCGCATGCATCATCAAGGCAAAAAGTAGCATGTAGTCGACAAAGCATTGAGGAGGCATCGCATCGTATGATCAGTTTTAAAGGGACACTTCACCCATTTGCATTAAGCTTTATATCTTTAGAAACCCAGTCATATTTTTGAATGGTCATAGTTTATTCCCTTATTTCCCCCTGGGATGGGATAAATAAGGATTTAAGTGTTTTACTTCCTGCTGACGTAAAAATCATAATGATCGTAAAGTCACATTTCATTAAAAAGTGTAGAGATTACAAACATTAGCTCATTATTATTGAAGGGTGTGGGACCCACTCACCCTACAGGCCTATTACAGATCAGTGGGTGGGACTTCACTTGCAGAAACTAATCAATATCCGCTATCTTGTTTGGAAGCTAAGCTAACAAGCGCTGTTGAGATAGGAAGTATGATAATGATGGAAGAAACTTCATTGGCAGCCCCTTATTGACATGCTCTCCACACACAACAGAAACAAAACACAACATAAAATCAGGCCTGTTTCTCTCTCCAACTGCCGTTGTCGCTCCTCATTTTATGCTTTCGCTCCTCCACTTTCAATAAAGATTAATGTTGAAATGGGTGTAATGCTCCTTTAAGAAAAGGTCGTGAGGATGGGAAAAAATCTTACATTTCTGCGTAAGATTTTATAATTGCTGTAGTGGTTGATATGGGTTGTGTGCGTAATAATAGCTCGCAGGAGTCGTAGCAACATATGGAAAAAAAAAAGAACTAGTTCATTTTTTTTAGAACTTAGTTCAAAATTGTGAAGTATAAACTATGAACTGAACTAGTTTATTTTACAATTTATGAACTGAACTTTGAACTAGTTCATGTAGAAAGTGAAATTTCCCAACGCTGGTTATTTGCATCAGAAATGGCAAACAAGAAACTACTTCTAGAATATCTAGATGTACCAAATTATTAATTGATTGTAATTACAGTTGGATTAAACAATGTATTCCACTGAAAAATGCAACAAATGTATTAAAATGAATAAAAAGTGAAATGAAATGAAAAGTTTGACTGTGATAGCAGTATGAAAGGCCAACGCATTCTCATCCTTTAACGTCATATAGAGCGCTATATGACAAAACGGCGCTATACTACGCTAAAGGCACCCGTTATCGTTAATATAACACGTGCTGTGAGGGCTAAGTTTAGGTGTGGGGTAGGGTGTACGTGTCATATTCACGCTAAAGGATTTATAACGTCTTGGGTTCGCGTGTTATATTAACGATAACGGGTGCCATGTGCGTAGTATAGCGCCGTTTTGTCATATAGCGCTCTATATGACGTTAAAGGATGAGAACGGGCTGGAAAGGCAGTTGTGAATGAAATGTTTATATAGATGAAACACTTATTTGTGTTGTGAAAAGGATACTTTGTAATTTTGTGTATTGTTCTAACACAATTGAATGCTGAAATGTCTGGGGGGAAAAGTGCACTTTTGATAATCTGTTAGTATAAGAGTTTTGAAAATGTAACACTTGCTTGTGAAAATTGCGCCAAAGCAATAATAATAATAATAATAATAATAAACTCTAAATTGCTTCAACAATGTTACATTGAGTAGTTTCAGAAACCGTGCTTTTGTTACCAAACTCAAATAAAGACACACAATGGCTGCAACACACCCATATTACACATCTCGTGTTTCCCACAGAGATAATGAGAGTCCTATCCAGGTCCCATGATGTTAAGGCCGGGTCTGGTGCGAGTTGTTTTCTAATAGAGTACACGTTTTTTAGTTCATTTAACTCACATGAGTCCTGAGTGAAACCCTTCTATGTTCAGTTACAGTATCTGATCAACTACACTAATATGTCATTCTGTGGCTCACATGACAGACGTCGACAGACATTAAACCTGGACCAAAGCAGACGAGGTCAGTTAAAGCCTTACATATAGCCTGTCTGTGTGCTGTGTTGGTTATGTAATTTGACAAAAAGTTAAATATAAAAACAACAACAAAAACTTATGTGAACATTTAGTTTTATGTGCTAAAGTTATTAATTCATAACAATACTATAATGATTTTTTTAACCAAGAATATTTTGTGAATGTTTGTGTTTGTGTACAGTTCAAATTAGTGAAGACAGTTTTGTTGAGGTTTTAAAATGTTACTGAGAAAATGAATGTTCAAGATTTTGCTATGACTAGTGAAAAAAAGGCTATACTTGCAGCCTGACTAATTTAGTATAGGCCTACTTCAAGGGTGTTCATGATAAGTTAACTTGAAGTGAAGCTATTTTGAAACAACTTGTGTAAGTATATTTTAGTTGTAATTACATTAACTTTTAAGTGTATTTAGTGTACTTTTGTTTACTAAATTTGAAAAACTTCAAGAATATAGTA